AAAAAAAACAGAAGACCAGTTTTGCTGGTCTGATAGAGTCTGCTGAGAACCCCCTGGTGAGGCCCTGTGTTGGTTATATTTGTGTGTCAACTTGGCTAGGCCTGGTTGAGTGGCTGGGTAACTGGTGGTAGTTATTCCCCATGATGAGATTGACAATCAACTTCATGGTGGGATCTAGCAGAAGCAGCTGCTTCCTGTATGTAAGCAGAAGCCTTGGGAATGGTCTTTAGCTTATGGCATGCTTGGACCCTGCATGTAGCCATGTCATTGTTCAGCAGCCTGCTATGCTCTGCCTAACTTGGGACTTACAATAAACTTGAATTAATGGCCTGCCTTGTGGTTTGGTAACATCAAGACTGTGCCATTTTATTATTTGTCGACCTTGGGCTTGTTAGCCTCAGTAGCCGGTAGCTGCCTGAGTGAAGAGATGCGTCTAGCTCCAGTGGGCTGGGAGTAAGAGGCAGAGCTGAAGCCCAAGATCGGGGGCTTCACAGCCCCTAGAGCCTGGCACTTTGAACTTGGACTTCTAGACTCCCAAACTGTAAGAGAATAAACTCCTGTTTGTTAAGGCCATCCCATTTGTGGTATATTCTTCTCAGAGTGGCACTAGATAACTGAACAAGCCCCTAGTCACCCTGCAGGTCTGTAATTGAACTCACTCCTTTGGCTTCCAGCCAAACAATATACAGGCACATGGGAGTGAACATTTACATCAGGTGGATATACACCTTGGAGCAATCAGTAATGGGAGAACAGAAGGGCAGTGTTTGCATAGGGAGATATCTCAGGGGGTGGGTGTGCATGGGAAGAAAGGACACAGGGAAGAGGTAACTATGGGGAGGAAGCGGGAAGAGAGCTGTTACATTGTGGAGAATTGCAATCAATATCACGAGACAAAATATGTATGAATTGGTCTATGGAAAATGAATTTGTCCTTTAAACTTTCACCCAAATCACAATTTAAAAAAAAAAAAAAAAAAAATACGTGCCTTTAAACCACCAACTGAATCCCTGCTCTTAGCAAAATAATTTGATCAATATTTGCACTTATTTTGGATCTCTTTCCCAAGAATATTTCTTTTCAAACCTTGTGACACATTGTGCAAAAACTATCCTCCTCCAACTCCCATAAAGATAGTTGCAGTAAAAGCAGGTGGCCTGGGACAGACTGAGGAGCAGGGGCCCTTCCTCATCAGCCCTGAAGCCTCCTATACCTACCCTCCCTTTTATAAGATGGGCCTTGGCTATTTCAGAGGGGGCACTACAAGGTGAATTGCAGAGTTAGACCTGGACTCTAGTTCCCGTGAAGCCTAGCTCTCCCACTGCTAAGACTGTTTTCTGCCCCTTGCTTCTCACTGTCTGTTGTTCTTTACATGGAGTCCCTGGAGTGGCACAAACATTTAAGTGCTTAGCTACTAACTGAAAAATTTGTGTTCAGACTCATCCAAAGACATCTAGGAAGAAAAGCCTGGTGATCTGCTTTGCAAAGATCCTAACCATGAAAGCCCTATTGAGAGCTCTACTCTGCACACATGCAGTTGCCATGACTCAGAATCAACTTGACAGCAATTGGGATTGGTATCCTTCAAACAAGCTTCCATCACCTGATACAACCTGACCATATCTATACATTTTTGCAAGCTAAGAGACCCTACCTAATCCATAAATACAGATATTTGTCTATGGACAAGTTATTTAATTTTCAAGATATTGAGTAGTTCATTTATGTATATGGGTGACATGCAGAGTCAAAAGCACAATTTATTGGAAAGAGCACTGGAAAGCAGAATTCTAGTTTCTGCTCTTGTAACTTTTGTCCCTTTGGACAAGATAGTACAATTTTTGGAGGCTCAATTTCCTCAACCGTAAAGGGGCTAATAATACCTTCTACACCTATTTACAAGGTTGTGTTATGAAGGCTAAGTAAGCTAATGTATGTAAAAGAGCTTTGTAAACTGTAGAGTTAGACAAATGTCAGTGATTATTAACAGATGGTTGAGATATTTATCTAAAGAGCTTTTTTTTTTTTTTTTAAAAAAAAAAAAAAAGCAGGTTCTGCTATGTAAGTAGGTTAGTCACCTGTTTTACAAATGGGGCTTCTGGCAATCTTATCAGCCAAGGGGTGGGGATTTACAGTTGACAGCAATCTGAGGATAATTCAACATCAGAAATTTTACTTTCACAAAGGAATTCACCAGAAATATATGGAAACACTGATAAGAGTTAGCCTAACTACTAACAATCTCTCTGTTTCTTTTTTGGAGATATTACTAATGCAAAAACAAAACAAACCCAAGACTAAACTCTCACTACAAAATATTCTCTGACAGTTTTTTTTTTTTTTTTTTTTCCTGAATATCTCCTGTTTTGAATGTTCTGCATGACTTTTTTTTAACACTGTGCGTACCTGAAACATGTGTACTAAAGAACCAAACGATATTTTCGGGCTTGTCATTAAAAACTCAGTACAAACTGAAAACAAAAATATTGTAGAAGACACTAAATGAGAAAAGAAATTCCTAAAGTTAGAGTTACATGACATGAAAGCTTATTAAGGAATTCTCCCAACCCCTATTGCCATACTGTTGATTCTGACTTACAACGAACCTATAAGAGAGTGGAACTACCCCACAGGGTTTCCAAGGTTGTAACTTTCACAAAAGCCAACTGCCTCATCTTTCTCCCATGGAGTGGATGGTGAGTTCGAACACCAATCTTTTGGTTCGCATCAGAGCACTTAACCACTGCACCTCCAGGATTTCCTAAACATGTAGACAGTCTTCTTGTATTGCCATTTAGATCTATCATTCTGATTGATCACTGTGTAGTTGGCTATTATTGGGCCTAATTTAACCCTATACACTAGCACATCCATCTACTCAGTATATTGTACCTGACATTCTACAAATTACTTACTCATGCAAATGATGACCTGAGGCAACCTTTTAGGATATTCGTGTTTAATTATACAAATGGTGCTTGATAAATAAGATTATACATCCTTCCATATGTTTATTCTTTCCTTGATGAAAGGAAAATTCAATTTTCATGCAGATTTGGTTGAGACGGTGTTTAATAATTGCTGAGTTTTATGTATTCTGCAGATCTATCCTGTTTGGAGAAGCTGACAAGATCACTCCACTTCCCACCCAGAGATGAGCAGTTTTTAATTAGGCTCTATCAGCCTGCTGAATTCTGAAATCGGGGCTCCTAAACTGCCTTCTTCTTTGTGTTCATATAGGCAAAAAAGAGGAGAAGACTTCTCTTCTCTGTGCTTATGAAACTGCAAAATCAAAGTGCACCTCCTCCTGTTGTGCTTAGTTGCTTTCTGTTGCGAACATTTTTTTTTTTTTTTCCCATCCTGAGGATGTTTTGTTTTTGACATGCGTCTTGTTGCTTTTTCTTTGGAGGTCTGGGCGGTGAATTCAGCAGGAAAAGCACCCAGTACTTGGACATGGTGTAGAACTGGGCCCACAGCCCCAGAAGGTCTCCAAGCCCCCACCTTCCATGTGGTCTCTTCCACCCAAGCAGTAGTCAACATCGGCGTCCCTGAGAAACCCAACGGGGTCATCAGTCTCTACAGGCTGTTCTCCAGCAACACCAGTGGGTCCGAGATGGTGGTGAGCCGCAGACTTCTCTAAACTAAACATCCAGGATTGTTTTATATTTTAAAACCGTGATACGGTGCCCTAGATTTTCATCTTGATCTATCTTAGCCTTCTGCTTTCAAATGCCCTCTGGTGGACTAAGTAACGCAAGGATGCCTGGGGGGGCAGGGGTGCGGGAGAAGGGTGCTGTTAGCAAAATATACAGAAAATAGGCAAACGATCATGGAAATAATTGGTAAAGGTAGTATTAAGAAATCCACAAATATTGTAAGAAATCTAAGACTTTACAGGTAATTGAATTAAATTAATTTAATTGGAAAATGTATTTTGAGCATGTAGCATAGTTATGACACATGGTAAAGAATCAATAAATGGTCATTGGTGATCATGGACATCAATACACAGTCATTCATAAATGTAAATATGAAAAAGGAAGGATAAATAGCCTCAGAATCCCAATTTTGGCATGCAAAAAACTTTGACAACACATCGAAAAAGCAGTCTGTCCTTTGGTAAATTCCAGAATGTCCTAGGTCTTTGGAAGAAGACAGCATATAGCTCATTCAACATAATGACAGATCCATTGTTGGTTTATTAATATGTTGGGGGCACAGTAGGACAGACAACAAATTTTTCAAGATCATCCTTTACATTGTGTTTTTAGCCAGGCCACTTGCTGCAAACAATACCGAGTATCAACTAGACCAGTTACTACGTTATTTAAATGAGACAAAGACTTAATGGGATTACATAACTTGTCTCTGTGGCACAGCTATGTTACTCTTCTGTTTCTTATGAAGAAGTGGAGATTATAATGCTTTGTTCACACAAAACTCAGAGAGAGATTGTGTAGATCCAAGTATTAAATTATAAATTATTTAGACCTGTTTAGGGAACAATTTATGAGCTCTGGTAGCATAGTGGCTAAAAGCACTTGACTGCTAACCAGAAGGCTGGCGGTTCAAACCCACCAGCCACTCCTCAGAAGGAAGGTTGGGCAATCCTACTTGCGCAGTGATACTGCCTCAGAAACCCAAGGAGGGGTCACTATGAGTCGGCACATAACAACAACAACAGGGAACAATTTGGGCAAGTGTGAAGAAATCCTCTGAGACCAGAGTGCCAAGTTTTGAATAGCAGTTTCAAAAGATAATTTACATACAAAGAGGTCTTGTATTGAATGTTAAAGAAATATTAGCATATATTCTACAGGGCTTTGTATTCAATAAATATAGATGATGTAAATATAATCAACTCTTGATTATCTATGCTTACAAAATGATAATACTAATAAACTAAAATAATTTATATTTGAGGTGCATGTATACATTTTTTTTAGCTCTTCTTAATTATATGTTACTTAGGTCAAAGTGAAAGTTCATTTGCAATTTCTGAATGCTTTTATTCTGGGGAGGACTTATTAAAACCACAATGAGGTCAAAAATTGGCTCCAAAGAAACCAAAAGCATTTAACCCAGAAAATATGATTATGATTATAATATTTAGTATAAATCCAGACCTTCAGAGAAATAAATGAAGTTTATTTCAAGCTCCTATGTCTATACCTAACTCTAACATGGACCTGGAGAGATTTTTTTTTTTTTTTTTAATCCATATATTACATACAAGTAACTGATGACAGAATATGGACTTTGGTGAATGTTGACTAGAAAGATAATTCAAATACAGACTTTTTTTAAAGAAAGCAACATTCTGAGGGTTATAGAATTTGATCACTATCACCATGTCATTTTCTACTATCTTTCTATGGTAATAGACACTGAATTATATTGTGCCCTGTGACTTCTATTATCTCAAACTTCCATTTAACTGTTACATTACTTTTCTGGTGTTTAAGTCACAGACATGACTCAAGTAGGTAACTACTTGAGGGTAAACACTATGTGAAATGTGATATTGCATCTCCCAGAGTATTTGGCATAGCACTCTGTTCATAACAGCGGGGGTGCCTGAGAAATACTTATCTATTTTCTTTGATCCTTTGCCTCATCTGGTCTTCTTTCCCCTCCTACAGCTGTCAGAAGGCACAGCCACCCAGCAGACCCTGCACAGCCTGCAGCCCTTCACCACATACTCCATCGGGGTAGAGGCCTGCACCTGCTTCAACTGCTGCAGCAAAGGACCAACAGCTGAACTGAGGACTCACCCTGCTCCACCTTTGGGACTGCCCCCTCCCCAAATCCAGACACTGGCCTCGAGGACAGCCTCCTTCCAGTGGAAACCCCCCCTGTCCCCTAACGGTGTCATTCAAAGGTAGTGGGCTAGATAGATGAAAAAACAAAACATGATATGCATACAGACATACTGTTACACAACACTACACAAGGAAGACTTGCCTATAAAGCAGATGCCTATAGTAAAATGTTGCTGTCGTTGTTGTTATGTGCCGTTGAGTCAGCCCTGACTCATAGCGACCCCTCCTTGGGTTGTCGAGGCAGTATCGCTACAGAAGTAGATTGCCCAACCTTCCTTCCAAGGAGTGGCTGGTAGGTTTGAACCGCCAGCCTTCTGGTTAGCAGTCAAGTGCCTTAGTCACTATGCCACCAGAGCTCCTTATAGTGAAATAGACAAAAGAATTTGTTTGGGTGGTCATGTTACCTGCAAAGTGTTTAAATCACAAACTCAACTAATGATAGAAAGGTAAACAACAAAATAATCTTTAAGTAAGAAATGCAATGTGTTTATATTTATTGAAAGAATATTCTCTGCCTTATGATTCCCTGGAATCATTCATGCTATAGGCCTTAACCAAAATACCAAACCCACTGCTATCAAGTCAATTCCAGCTCATAATGATCCTAAGGACAGATTAAAACTGCCCCGGTGGGTTTCCAAGGCTGTAAATCTGTAGGAAAGCAGACTGCCTCCTCATCTTTCTCCTGTGGAGTGGCTGGTGGCTATGAACCACCAACCTTTTGATTAGCAGCCAAATACTTTAACCACTACACCACCAGATCTCCTTGCTATAGGCCATAACTGGATATAAACTGCTATTATTAAGTCAGCTTTCCTTGAGTGGTGAAATGGTTAAGTGCTAGGCTACTAACTGAAAATCTGGGTGTTTGAGTCCACTCAGTTCCATCAGAAGACAAGACCTTTTTGATCTGCCCCCAAAAGTTCACAGTCATGGAAACCCTATGGAGTACAGTTCTACTCTAAAACACATGGGTTGCCATGAGTCACAGTCAACTCAGCAACTGGGTACTTTTTTTTTTTGATGGGGGGGAGCCGTTTGTTAAGTCAGAATTTCTTTGATCTAGTTTAAAATGTTTTAACTACTATTTGAAAAACTACTATTTGAAAAATCAGAGTTCTTTGCTCTAAACAAAAGAGAATAATTGTATCACTCTCTTCTTAAAAGAGAGAAATATCTCTACCAACAAGAATTGCGAGTTGCTGGGTGGTCAGCCACGGGTGTGCACATTTTTACACGACTTAGAGTTTCTTTGGTAACTTCTGCTGCTCATTCCCACAGCATTAAGTAAAGGGTTTCTGAGAGCAGTTTCCCACAAATGGAGATCTTAAAGAGCTCGTAGTTCAGTGATAACAAAATGCTTCCATACAAAATATAACCAATTTTAAAAGAGAAAGTCTAACTGATTCCATTTCCTGTCTTTTCTTTATGTGTCCATTCTCGTTCTAGCTATGAGCTTCAACTTTATGTAGCTTGCCCTCCTGACGCAGTCCCGCCCTGCACTCCCAGCCAAACAGAGACCAAGTACATGGGGCCAGAGCAGCAAGCCAGCCTTGGGGGTCTCCAGCCTTACACCACCTACAGGCTGAGGGTGGTGGCACACAATGAGGTGGGCAGCACAGCTTCCGAATGGATCAGCTTCACCACACACAGAGAATGTGAGTAGGAGGGGCTGTGACCATAAGCCAGAGAAATCTGAGGGCCATCAGGAAAGGCTGGTACCAAAACGTAAGGGAAATTACAACTGTTAAAGGTTGAGTGCTCAGTTACACTGCGTGCAACCCAGGCATTAATGAAGATGACTACTGAAGAAAAATGCCTGTGGGATTTTTCAACATGGAGGTCAAGGATGAATTAATAAAGATCTTTCATGAATGATGGAATTAAAACCAATTTAGAGAACATTCAACAGCAAATAGTCTCTGGGTAGCACAAACGATTAACATGTTGGTTACGAACCAAAAGACTGGAAGTTTGAGTTCACCCAAAGATGCCCTGAAAGAAAAGCCTGGCCATCTTCCCCCAAAAACTCAGCTTTTGCAAACCCTATGGCTCACAGTCCTGCTCTGACACACATGGGTCACCAGGAGCCAGAACTGACCGAACAGCAACTAGTAGATGGTGACTAGGAAGAAAGAAAGTGGACAAACACTTATAGACCATTCTTTAAAGAAATTTAGACATATTTTTTTCTATTCTAATTACATGGCATAATCTCTAGCACTTCCAGAAAGTGCTAAGACATGTCATGTCAGAGAAAGCAAAAGGTCAGTTGAGTCCAAAAAAGGGCAATTATCTAATTTGGTGACCAATATTTTCATAAAATAACATGCATCTTTAAAATGATAAACACAAGAAGTATTAAAAAAATAAGTGCTTATCATCATAACTGGCTATATATTTGCCAGACCCCAAGGAGGAGTCGCTATGAGTTCCCCAACTCGACGGCACATGACAACAATAACAACAGCAGTATAAAATAAACATATGGGGCTCCTTGTTAAAAAATCATTAAGAATTTCAAGTTGGCAATAGCAGAGCATTAAACCAAATGTGGGCCTCTTCAACGTGCAGAGCACTATGAGGCTGCATAGATCACATACTTAAGAAGCCTGTTCTGTTTATAATCCTTCCACTCAGCACTAACCACTATTAGTATTTTGGCATAATCCCTTCCTTTAATCCCTTTTGATGCATAATTTTTATTACATAGCTGATATAGTACAATAGTTAAAATGTCATGGTCTGCTTCTTATACTTGGCATTATTTCATTAGCATTTTCCCCTGACATTAAAAATTCTTTAGCCACCAAGTTTAATGGCTATGTAACATTCCATCATATGATTTTTTAAAAAGAGTTCAGTTGTCTTAAGTATTTCTCTCCTATACATAAGAGTGATGAGAAAAAAGTCTTCTGAACAAATCTTTGTCTGAATATCTGATTATCTTAAATCTCAGCAAATGGAATTTACTGCATCAAGTATTTGAATATCTTAAGACTTTGGACGCTTATTGCAAATTTGCTTTCCAGAAAGATTGTATCAAATTACAATCTCGCCTTCAGTATTCAGCATTGAGTAGTATACCTATTTTTAAAGTGAAAATTATGCATTCATTAAAGTCAAAAGTCTCATGCAAGTATCTTAAATATCTAAGCAGCAAAATGACAGGATATTAGTAATAGGTCACCTTTGAAGAGGAGTACTGATGGTGCAACAGTAAGTGTTCAGCTGCTAATCAAAAGGTTCATGGTTCAAACCCAACCAGTGACTCTGAGGGAGAAAGACCTGGTGATCTGCTCCCATAAAACTTAACAGCCAAAAGAACCCTATTGAGCAGTTCTGCTCTGTCACATGGAGACACTATGAGTCAAAATTGACTCATTGGCACCTGACAACAACAGCACCTCTATAGAGAACTCGGTCCTGGCACTGTTGTAACATTTCACAATTACCTTTACAACAAACCTATAGAGTACTGTTATATCCTAATATATGGATGAGTAAACTGAGGCAAGGAGCTCTGGTAACATAGTGCTCAGGCATTTGACTGCTAATCAGAAGGCTGGCACTTCAAACCCACCAGCCACTCCTTGGAAGGAAGGTTGGGCAATCTACTTCCGTAGTGATACCACCTCAAAAACCCAAGGAGGGGTTGCTATGAGTTGGATCCCACTCCATGGCAGTGAGTTTTTTTGTTTGTTTGTTTGTTTGTTTGCTTTTTGTCTTTTTTTGTCTTTTTTAAACTGAGGCAGGATCTTAGACCGTGTACTGTAATTCCAGGATAACACTCACAAAGATTATGATATAAAGTCTTGCTCTTGCATTTGTACAATGAGCTGGCCCTGAATTATGACCAAAATTGAGGTAGCTTGGTCAGGTTTCCACATCTAGTAAGTAAAAGTATTACTCTAAATTGATTATCACCAAGGTCACCTGTGCCCTTAGTACAACTGTTTCCCTGGTCAACTCGCTTCCATTTGTCATAATTAATAATAAAAAAAAGTTTCTCTTCCCATCTCACACTCTTCTCATCTTTTCTCCCTACTTATGCATAAGCATCCTCACCACTTGCCCCCTAGTCTGTGCTTTGCCTTGTAATTCACCAAAGGAGACATAATCAGTCAATAATTTCCTCTTCTTCCACCACAGATGAATCTTCCTACCTGCATTTACACAATTCCCAGCAGCAAGAGAAAGAGGCAGTCTTCCTGTCTGAAATAGACCTGCTCCTAGTGTGCATACCATCCCTTTACTTTTTTCAGAATCCTTCATCACTGACCCTCCTTTGTTATTGTTAGCTGCTATAGAGTCGATCTCTGACTCATGACAACCCCATGAATAGCAGGATCCGACATTGTGACATTGGTTTCCACTGGTGATTTTCAGAAGTAGACAGCCAGGCCTCTCTTCCTGGTCCATCTTAGTCTAGAAGCTCTGCTGAAACCTGTGCAACATCATAGCAACCTACCAACCTCCACTGACAGGTGATGGCTATGCATGAGGTGCATCGGCTGAGAGTTGAACCTGGGTCTCCTACATGAGAGGCAAGAATTCTACCACTGAATCACCACTGCCCTCAATCATCCTTCATCTCTCCTTAATCTTCAATGTGTTTTTCAAGTCGATTCTTCCTATTTGGATTCAAATGTACTTGTGTCTCTCTAATGTTAGAATTCCACTTCTTCCAGGCATTTTCCCCTTCTTCTCATGGCAGAACTCTATGGAATGATTTACAAGTGCTTTGCCCATTTTCTCTTCCCACTATTCTTTAACTTCCTCCAAACTAGCTTTCACTCCATTAATGCATCAAATTCTCTTCCTGATTTCACATTTGACCTCCATATTGATAAATCCAATAGGCATTTTTTCTCCAGTAGTAGTAACATCTTAGTAACATTCAATGGAACTGGACATTCAATCCATTAAAAGAAAAAAAGAAAAAAAAAAGTAATTTCTCAATTTTCTTGACAAAACCTCCCCTCATTGCCCGTCTACCTTTTTGGGTATTAATTTTAATCAGTTTTGATGGTGGCTCTTTTTTTCTCCCCCACAACACAGTAAAAGAAGAAAATGATTTAGTTTATTGCTAACATCACCAAAAGGTAATAATCACTTCCATAATTTAAAGGATGACCAAAGCATACAGGCCATAAGAAATGATATCCAAAATTTTGAGAGATGAAAAAACAAAAAACCAAACTCACTGCCATCAAGTCGATTCTGACTCACAGCAACCCCCATTATGTTTCAAAGGTGGTAAATCTTTACAGAAATAGATTGCCCCATCTTCCTTCCACAGCGTGGTTGGTGAGTTTGAACTGCCAAACTTCTGGTTGGCAGTCAAATGCCTTAGGCACTGCGCCACTGATATTTGGTTTCTGACATACTGTATAGGTGGTTCTGTAATTGTTTAGAATACATTGTTTCTGCTAGGAGCTGTCTACCTTTCTCTTTGATGGCTTGCCGCTCTACTGCTTTTTCTATGCATTTCCTTCTTAGCCGTTGTTGAAAGGCCTTTCATAGCCTTCTGTCCTTTGAAGAAGAGTAAGCATTCATCTTGCCTTCTTACTTCTTCTGTCTTTTTTGTTGTTGTTGTTGTTGTTCATGCTATTTTTAAAAAACCCATGGCCAAAATGCTGTTTTCTCTCCTGTTCATATCTTATAGTTCCTGGGTTCGCTGAATTCTATTTCTAGGACCTGTTCTCTTATCTTTTGCAACCATGCTTTAAATACCATGTCATTTTCTCTTTTCTTTTGTTTCATCTCTTTTCCATTGTGCTTCCTCTCTCTTTAGCTTCTGTCTCTTTTGTGCTAGCTATTTTTGTAGTTCTTTCTGTTCAGGGGAAAGACAGTATGTCAAGGTCACTGGAGATACATTTGTGGAGTGAAGCCTGTAATTAAATTATTCATTCCGTTATTCTGTCTGAGTTGACAGCAGAGTTTGAACAAGTCTGGGGATTACCTGGTGGCTGACGGATATAAGCCAATGGCTCTCCTTTTGGTGAATGAGCAATAATATGAATGTTTGCCACTGGCTCTTCTTTCTTAACACCATTGACAGATGAGTTGGGAGATCTGGGTGATAACTGCTGAGGTTCATTTTCTGTATTGTTAGCATTATTAGTAATAATAATAATAACAAAACCCAAAGCCACTGCCATGGTGTCAATTTCAACTCATAGTGACCCTCATTGGGTTTCCAAGGCTGTAAATCTTTAGGAAGTAGATTGCTTCATCTTCCACCTACAGAGCAGCTGGTGGGTTTGAACCACTGATCTTCTGGTTAGCAGCCAAATACCTTATCCACTATGCCACCAGAGCTCCTTATTAATAGGTGGACAACAAAACGTTGCCCCCAATGTATTATAAATTCAGTTCAAACTTTCCGTCTCTCTCTAATAGTATCTTCCTATCATTGTTTTCTTCACAATTTCCATCATTAAGTGATAGGAGCACATTGTCTTGACTATTTTCATTGGAAATACATAACTGTGACAGTTTTCCAGAATATTACTTCATTTTCAAAACAATTTTAGGAAGTTTCACTGTCTTCTAATGGAGGAGTTTCAAGATCAACTAATTTGTCCTTGAACTTAAGTTTTCACTCCCTTTTATCATCCACAGATTCTTGATCTAGAAGTTTGTTGGCTTGTATAATTTTCTCCATAATATGTTACTTTTTCCTCATCTTTTTCCACCAGGTTTTTCTCATTTTTCTCTAAGGATTCCTGGAAATAGTTTCCCTATCTGAATCTGGGATCCACAGGTTGAATATGTGGTACAGAAATGAAGTCGTTTCTTCTTGGTGGAACTTTATCCTTCAAAGATTTGTCAGGATCAGAAAGCTGTTGGGTGCATTCTATTTCTGCTTCATTTTCTTTTAATTCTTGTTTTATAGTTTCTTCCTTCCTAGAAGCCATCTCTGTTATGTTGTCTCCTCTTCCTTTTACTGGTGAGTTCATGGAGTCCTAGGCTACAATTGCTGACTCCCAAATGGTTACCTCTTACCCAAGTTCTCAGCTTTGACGTTCAGACCCCACATCAGCTTCTCTCTGAGCTTCTTATAACCAGCTTACATTTGACAGGTCCCAAGCAGAGCTTGCATCTTTCCCTCTCAATCTGCAACTCATTTAATCCTTACTTTCTTAGTTGTGTCTCCAGCACTAGCCACAATGACTTAGACATCCATTATTGTTTAATGAGTGAGCGAATGTGTATGAAACTTCTCACATTGATTGTAGTCCACCACACAATCAGTACTTTTTGGGGACTCAATCAAATCACACAGTGCAGTACCTTTTTTTCTTTTTCCCCTGACTTTTTTGCCTTTTTCTCCCATGCCATCCCTTCACAAAAACAAAAAGAAATGTGAGACACACATTTAATCCCTAGGTAAATGTAAAATCTCAATAATAATAATAATAATAATGAAGCCACTATATGCAAGGAGTGAGGGTAAAGCATCATCATCATCTTTCTTACAAAAAAAGCCAATTACTTTTCACTATGCACCCATACAAGGACCTCTGGTGGTGCCACGGTTAAGCGCTTGGCTGCTAACCAAAAGGTCAGTGGTTTGAACCCACTAGCTGCTGTGAGGGAGACAGATGAGGTAGTCTGCTTCCATAAAGATTACAGCCTTGGATACTCTATGAGGATATTCTACTCTGTCCTAGAGGGTCACTGTGACTCAGAATTGCTTTAACACCACACAACAACACATACACCCACAATCCATTCTCATGATTTTATTAATTTTTCCAGTCTTTTGTGTTCATTGGCCAAGAGGCCTGGCCAGAGCAGAAAACATGTGAAGTTTGCAGTATTATAACCAAATCTCTTTTTAGTCATGAAGTTTAGCTTTTGCAGATATTTTATAACTTTCTTGTGCTGAAAGAAGAAAGTAAAAAGATTTAAGACTTCTTTCCTTTCTGGTCTCCTTTCACACTGGAGAAGGGGCCGGAAGCTAGACTATCACGGAAGAAGACCAGGTTCTGTAGAAGTTTGTTCTCTTTACTGAATTCACACACCTGGAAAAGTACATTTATGAGTTTTTGTACCATTTATGCTCCTGCTAACTCATTGTACACACTAGAAGAGAGAAACATTAATCAGAGAATGCAAAGCAAAAGATAATTTTTAAATTGAATTGTCAGCTTTATCTAAACCTGATGTCAGATAAACTCAGATATACTCAGAAAAGGGCCTGGAGAAGCATACGCAATGTGATCAGCCCCCTCTGTCTGAATTATACCTTCAGTAGGAGAGTAGAGGTGATGTTTAAATGTTTAATAACCATCTTCTGGAGGAGAATGATCCTGATTTGAAATGTTTGCCTATTTCCATGGTGTAAATACTCCTACCACAGCTGATTTCAAGCAAACAACATGCCATCACTAAATGCAGAGCTGGGTAGTAGCACACTATTATATATTACTTCCATCAAACAGATACACTAGATGCAAATAACCTCTAAAGCATAGGTAATTTATTTATGTTTATGTAATTTAATTTTTAATAATGGTTGTGTTTAACAACTGGCTCACTAAATTACTGAAGACTCGACAATTGGTACAAGTCAGCTCGGACACACCACCGACAATTTATGACAAGCATCCATAAAGTGAATTAGCAACTTGCACTCCTTTAAATAAAAATGTACCCTATCATAGCAAGAGCAGCTTTGCAGTCAAGCAGGCCTGCAGTCAAACCCTTGATCTCCTACCAGCTATCTGCTGACTTCAGGCAAGATGGTTAATTTCTCTGAACTTTAGTTTCCTCACCAGAAAAATGGATTCTTTTGAAGATTAAGTGAGATAAAGGATGTCAAGTGCTAGGAGCAGAGTAGCATTTTCTCAGTCTCATTTGGGGAGGTTACATAAACATGTTACTCCTAGTTGTTTGTTTACTCTTACATTTCAGTAAGGTCCCCCATGCTGCAAGACAAATAAAGCTTCTATCTTTCTGTTTTCATACTACTTAGAAGCCTCTTTATTTGTACTGTTATGAAATAGGGGAGAAATGGAAATCTATTAAATTTAGGTGTCAGAGGAAGCTATCGATAAATAGAATAGTGTGGTGTGTTATGTTATTAGGCAAGATTAAAGTTGGAAAGACATAAAGATTTTAAGAGGGCTTGCTAAATCTTGTTTTGCTGTTTGGGGAAATTTTTCTTGTACCTTTATGAAAATGTTTTAATTTGAAATTAAGAGTCTATTTGTTTTCAGAGTTGAATCTTAAGAACATAAAGGCATAATTACTCTATATTTTGTTATATTCCATAAGCAACAGATATAGTTTTTTAAAAAAAAAGAAAATAGCCAATATATTTTCACAGCTCACTCACTCCTTTCTTAAAAGCCATTTCTGTGTGTAGATGGATCTTAATGCTTTTACAAATGTATCGATTATTTTGGAGAAACAGATTCTGATTTGGCTCAATAATGTGGTATCCTTTCATTTGTTTCTACAAAAATTATTCATTTGAAAGATGAGCCAAGGTAGGGAATTTGGTGTGTTTGTTTTATAAGACTGAAAAATGAAATGGAATCATGTCTGCAAAATGTACACAAAGTTGCTTCTATATCTGATATAATATTTAAGAGCTCTGAGCTTGATGATATACTAATGTACTGTGCTATTGATTGATTAGTCAGAGCAATGAATTATTATACTCAAATTGCTGTTTGCAAGGCTTTTTAACTATCTTTGAAAACAAACTAACGGTCCAGGAAAAAGCTTTAAAAATAAATGGTTGCCAAAAGGATATAATTCACCTTCTAAGCAGTTTAGTTTGGAGAAAAAAAAAAATATATTAACTTCATCTAGTCCTTGGGGCTTTGTAGCAATAAATATTGATTTGATATGAAAAATAGCTATCTACAGTAGTTAATAGTGTTAAAGATACTTTACCTGTTAAAAGAGGGAAAATGCAACAAAATATGAGCTCTGGGGTTATGTTGGTGAACAGAAGCATTGTATGTTAATAGTTTTGTTTCATAAAACACCACTCTCCATTGATTTTTTTTGCAAAGCAGGTGCAAAGTTGTTGAGAAAGCATTTCATATATGTTCCCGTTGGTTTTCTTTTCACCCCCAATGCTAGTTTTTTAACACTAAAGAAAAAGTAAAGCGTTCCAGTAATGATTTTTGGGGGGTGGGGGTGGTTATATTAAAACACACACACACAGAGAAGCAACCATTTTTAGAACATACAACTTTCTCCCAACAGTACCTCAGTACCAAACCCCATTCTCTGTGGACAGCAATTTGTCTGTGGTGTGTGTCAACTGGAGTGGCACTTTTCTTCTGAATGGCCCACTGAAGGAATACGTGTTGATGGATGGAGGACAGCGTGTGTACAGTGGCTTCGACACTACCCTCTACATACCAAGGACAGCTGACAAAAGTTAGTTTCTGATTCCCATGTCTCCATTTGCAAGGTGTTCTGTTCCCCAGCTGTATGACTAGAAAGTAGTCATTATGGAAATGTCTTGGTTTAAGTGGCCATTTCTTGTGGAAAAGCAAGGATCCTGGTGGCATAATGGAAAGCTGGTGGTTTGAACCCACCAGCCACTCCTTGGGAGAAAAACGTGGCAGTCTGCTTCCATAAAGATTTATAAACTTGGGATTTATAAAGTTGGAGACCCTATAGGGCAGTTCTACTATGTCCTGTGGGGTTTCTATGCGTCAGAATCCACTCAGTGGCAATGGCTCTTGTGAAAAGGTTTCCATGTAGAATAAATGAGGATTCCCCTCCAATTTGCTGCCTAGTTCATTGCAATAAAGATGCAGACCCTGAGGAGAGTGCAGACTCCATGTGATGTAAGTGTCACCATGGCAGAACAGGATGGAAGGAGGGCATGTTGTGTTCACAAAGAAAATCGCACCCAGATGTAGTCGATTAGTATCCTAAAACAGTACATTTTTAGAGACTTCAGAGATTTTCTTGATGGATCCATCCTAATTCTCCAAGCTGAGCCCTATCAGACAATGACCATTTCTAATGCTTAATGACCCTGAGTAAGGGGTTTCCTCAGCGTTTGTCCCTGCAAGTCACATCTCTTTTTCCTCTAAAGCTGAATTCTCTTCCCCCAGCTTGGTTAATTGAACCAGTTGCAGTCCAGTGATTCCAACTGATGGTGATCCCTTGTGCGTCAGAGTAGAACTGTGCTCCATAGGATTTTAAATGACTGATTTTGAAACTGGCCCAAAGTGGGTCCTGGTGCACTGCGAGGCCAAGAAACAGAACACACCAGACTTTAATGAGAAAGAAAGTTGGTTTTATTATTAAGCACTTAGTAGGAGCTGGGAGAAATGCACCCAAATATGACTCCTTGAGAGGGGATTAGGTTGAGGCTTTTATAGGGCTAAGGAAGGGAAAGTTATACACATTCATAAAAATTCCAGGAATTTGATCTTAAATTCGTTGGGAATTGGCTGCAGTCTCCTTAGCCCCAGTTTAAAGGAACAGTCAACTTTTAATGTAGCACTGAATGCCAGATGAGTTACAATGACTTCCAGTGATCAGCTGATCGGGGCATAGGCAGAGGCGAGATGTTAGTTCCAAGTAATTGCATTCCATTTCTCTCATTGTGCATGTCCATGGGCCAAAACTGAGCTTGTCTGAGCTTGTTACCAATTTGTCTTCGATCTCCTGGAACGTCTAGTATCTCCCTGTAAGATAAACTAACAAAGCAGCTAAGAAAGGAGCATGTGAGAAGCTAGATAGAAAACAGAATCCTGCTGTGGTGGTTAAAAAGTTTGTCGAAGTTTGGCTCGATTAGGAAGGAAAAAAAACACCAGACACCTGAAAGCCTGTTTCAATTCCTACCTGCTTCAATTTTTCAAAAGTAGACCTCCAGGGCGGTCTTTGGAGGTGTCTCTGGATGGACTTGAACCTCCAACCTTTAAGTTAATATCCCAGTACATTAACCATTCGCACTGCCCACTGAGTCAATTGCATTTATATTACTTAATGATAACCTTTTTTTCAATTCAGCTCTGCATTTTCATGTTCACATTTTTTATCATTTGTGGCAGCTTGTTGTGATGGAAGATTGGCCTGACAGCTGGGAGATTTGAGTTCTTTTCCCAGCCAGGCCTTTAATCATTTGTGTGACCTTGCAGCATTGCTTCCCCCAGGTTCCTAGCTATCAAGAGGGGAAGTTAGACCATGTGAACTCTAAAATCCCTTTGAGCTCTTCTGTTCAATAAGGAACTCTGGGTCTTACTAAGAGGTAAAACCACAACTTTTAAAGGAATTAGTTTAGACCATGTGCAGAACAAGATATGCCAAATATATAGGAGCTCTGGCATAGTACCTAAGGCACTTGACTGCTAACCAGAAGGCTGGTGGTTCAAACCCACCAGCCACTCCTCAGAAGGAAGATGGGGCAATCTACTTCCGTAGTGATACTGCCTTGGAAACACAAGGAGGGGTTGCTATGAGTCAGGTCCGACTCGACAGCAAACAAAAACAACAACAAATATATATATATATACGTATATATATGTGTGTGTGTGTGTGTGTGTATGTATATGTGTATGTATATGTATATGTATATATATATATGTATATGTATATGTATATGTATATATGTATGTATATTCCATTCCAAACCAAAACTGTACCTGTTGCCATCCATTGTTGGCTTTAATCTTTGAGGAAGCAGATCACCAGGCCTTTCATCTGTGGTACTGCTGGGTGGGTTCAAACTGCCAAACTTTAGGTTAACAGTTGAGTATAAACCGTTTGTGCCACCTAGGACATTCTATTACTCCTCTGTTAACTCTTTTCCTTTACTGTAGAAGCGCTAACCTTCTTCACTCTGTTACTTGGTGGATATACTGTTATTACACTAATTATAGCTTTATTCTTAATAATGTTTAATTAGAATTAAATATTGGTAAAAGTCTCACAACTTCCTCTGGGATCCTATTTTCAAATTGTCTATGCTATGATATATTGTTCTTTTAAAAATATGCCCATTTGATGAATATGTGGAGTGCAGGGAATTTTTAAGGGCACTGTAACTACTCTGTATGATGGGTGATGGTGGACACATGACAGTATACACTTGCCAAAACCCATAGGACTGTACAACACAAAGAGTGAAGCTTAATGTGAACTATGGACTTTAGTTAATACTGTATTAATATTGGTTCATCAATTGTAATAAGTGTACCACACACAAACAAAACCAAACCTACTGTTGCCATCAAATCGATCCCAACACATAGCAACCCCCACAGGGTTTCTGAGGCAGTAAATGTTTACAAAAGTACATTGCCCCCTCTTCTTTCCACAGAGCAGCTGGTGGGTTTGAAGTCAAATGTCTTAGGCACTGTGCCATCAGAGCTCCTTACACAAACACAAGATGTTAATAATAGGAGAAAGACTGTGCAGGGGTGAGGGAACTCTGCACTTTCTGCATAATTTTTCTGTAAACCTAAACTTGCTCTGGAAAAAAAAAAAGTACATTAAGGGAAAAAGAAAGTATGTTCACTATTAGCAAGTATTGAATGACTGAGTCATTTACCAGTTTTTCCTTTTGTTTAGCCTTCTTTTTCCAGGTCATCTGCACTACAGATGAAGGAAGTGTGAAGACACCTTTAATCCAGTATGATACCTCTACTGGGCTTGGTAAACATTTAACTCATATTATGTTTAGTGTAGCACCTACTTATTTTCTTATGTATGTTTATTTTATACTATGTATATTGATCTATTAGCAAAGACTATGTGAAAGGAATTAGGTGTTATAAAAAGCTTTTTAGGGGAAGAGAATTTGCTTCGTTGGTTACTAGGGATGGGAAGGAAGGGAAGGGAACATTACTGACCAGTTAAGAGTCATGTATTGATTTGGATGAAGGTCAAAAGTGTGTGATCAGCACAATAACAATAGGGAAGAGGAGGGCACAGAGAGGTGCACAAAAGTTATAGACAACAGAAGCAAATACTATTGCACACACAATACTGTGTTATCAGTAACAAGCATGAGTGGATGCATAGACAGCTGTGGATAGATTAGGTGTGGATTGGTAAATGGGAATATGCCCATGACTATACATGTATTTGCCTAATAATATTCCTACTTGTGTATCTGTGCTACAAAAATATCCATATACATTATAGATTAACAGAGGACAAGTTTGGAGTAGCTTCTCAGTGACAACCAAGTACCTTGAAGGAGTGAGTCACTGGACCTGTGGGCTCAGGACCATGGATAGTCTTGGGGGACATTAAGCTCAGCTGGCACAACATATATATAAAAATCTTATTCTACATCCTACTTTGATAATTAGTGACAAGGGTCTTAAAAGCTTTCAAGGGGCCATCTAAGTTGCAACTATTGGTTTCCCTTCATCTAGATCAAATAAGAGTGAAGAAAATTAAAGGCATATAGAAACAATTAGTCCACAGGTCTGATGGACCATGGGAACCTCAGCTGTCATGACCCTAGGACCAGAAAAATTGGGTGGTGCCCTGCTGCCAATGCCAACCATTCAGAAAAGGCTCAAAATTGGAGATCCTGAATAAAGTGGGAGGAAAAATTGGAACAAAATTTAAAAGCACAAAAAATGACCAGAATTACTGGTCAAATGGTGAAACCCCTGAGGCTATGGCCCTGGGTTATCCTTCAGGCCTGGGATTGGACTCACTTCTGTGAATTAGCCATCAGCCAAACAGTAGAAAGGCCAGCAACCAGAACAGCTATCTCAGGGAGATGCATCCACCTATGTTAGGGAGAGGCACCCCTTAGATCAATCAGCCATGAGAGATCAGAAGAGCAGCATTTGCACAGAGGGAAGGCTGGCCAGACAGGAGTGCAAAGAAAAGAAGGGCACAGGGAAGCGGTAGTCACAGGGAGGAGATGGAAGGAGAGCTGTTCATTGCTGGGATTGTAATCGGTGCCATGATACCAAATGTGTATGAACTGTTGAGAGTAAAATGAATCTGCTCTTTAAATTTGCACCCAAATCACAATATTTTTTTTTTAATGTTCTAATAGATACATTAGGAGCTCTGGTAGCATAGTGGCTAAAGCACTTGACTGCTAACCAGAAGGCTGGCGGTTCAAACCTACCGGCCACTCCTCGGAAGGAAGGTTGGGCAATCCTACTTCCGTAGTGATACTGCCTCGGAAACCCAAGGAGGGGTCGCTATGAGTCGGGGCCGACTCGACGGCACATAACAACAACAACAACAACAACAATAGATACATTATGCACATAATTAGGACCAAACCAAACTCACTGCCATTGATTTGGTTCCCACTTTGTCTATAAGACAGAGTGGAACTGCCCCACAGGGTTTTCAAAGCTGCAAATCTTTACAGAAGCAAATTGCCATATTGTTCTCCTGCAGATTGGCTTGTATGTCCAAACAACTGACTTTTTGGTTAGAAGTTGAGCATTTTAACCACTGTGCGGACAGGGATCCCTAATAATTCAGACATATTCCTGAAATGCTAAACCACTGAATTAAAAATGTAAAGAGAACCTGAGATACCTGCCTAAACTTTTCTCTTAATCATAATTCCTGTCAATAAAGAGCTCTATAACTTTGTGTAGATAAAACAAAACATGACTTAGAAGGAAATCAGAGGAATGAGAGATCAGAGGAAGGGGGAGCACACTTTAGTTCCAATTTGTGTTGATGGTAATGATGACATTCTGGACTCAGAGTCTAAAATGGTGAATTAGGGAAATTTCTGTCTCATGTCCTCCATAAAAGATTATGATCAGCTGTTAATAACAAGCAACTTAGCTGAAGACATAAAACTGTAATTTTTAAGGAGCATCTTTTAAATTGAGTTCTACCCATAATCTTTGAATCAAAAAAATGTGATATTCTGTAATTCCAAAGGGCAAAATGGAGAAATGTCAAGCTTTTCCATGAGGACAGAATTGAGACTGTTAACCACATTTAAATTCTGATGATTAATGTTATATACTACCACCCATCTGTCAGTTTGTCGCACTGTGGTGCCTTGTGTGTTGCTGTGATGCTGGATGCTATGCCACCAGTATTTCAATTACCAGCAGGGTCAACTATGGTGCACCTTCCAACAAATGGTGCAGTGCTGGAGGCACTCACTCATTTATGCCAAGAAATTTGGAAGACAGCTACATGGACAACCAATAATTAATAGCACATGCAAGTAAAATTTTGCTGAAGATAATTCAAAAACAGTTGCAGCAATATATTGACAAAGATAGAAGAAATTGAAGATTTTTACCAACTTCTGCAGTCTGAAATTAACCAAACATGTAATCAAGATGTATTCATAATTACTGATGATTGGAATGTGAAAGTTGGAAACAAAGAAGAAGCATGAGTAGTTAGAAAATATGGCTTTGGTGATAGAAATGACACCAGAGATCACATGATAGAATTTTGGACAATGAACACCTTATTCATTGCAAATACTGCTTTTAAATAACATAAACGACAACTATACATGTGGATCTCACCAGATGGAATACACAGGAATCAAATAGACTACATCTGTAGAAAGAGACGACAGAGAAGCTCAATGTCATCAGTCAGAACAAGGCCAGGGGCTGTCCGCGGGATAGACCATCAATTGTTCACGTCCAAGTTTAAGTTGAAGCTAAGAAAATCCAAACAAATTCATGAGATTAAATATGACCTTAAGTATATCACACCTGAATTTAGAGACCATCTAAAGAATAGATTTGATGCATTGAACACCAGTGACTGAAGACCAGACAAGCTGTAGGATGACATCAAAGACATCATACATAAGAAAGCAAAAAGTCATTAAAAAGATTAGAAAGGAAGAGAACACTAAAATGGATGTCAGAAGAGACCCTGAAACTGCTCTTGAATGGAGAATAGCAAAAGTGAATGGAAGGAATGATGAAGTAAGAGAGCTGAACAGATTTCAAAGGGCAGCTTGACAGGACAAAGTAAAGTATTATAATGAAATGTGCAAAGATCTGAAGTTGGAAAATCAAAGGAAAAGATCACACTTAGAATTTTTACAACTGAAATAACTGAAGAAAAAATTCAAGCCTCTAGTTGGCAATAGGAGCTCTGGTAGCATAGTGCCTAAGGCACTTGTCTGCTAACCAGGATAACAGTTCAAACCCACCAGCCATTCCTTGGAAGGAAGGTTGGGCAATCTACTTTCATAGTAATATTGCCTTAGAAACCCAAGGAGGGGCCGCTGTGAGTCGAGTCTGACTCAACAGTACATAACAACAACTAGTTGCAATATAAGGAAGATTGGGCAATCTACTTCCATAGAGATAGTGCCTCAGAAACCCAAGGAGGAGTCGCTATAAGTCAAATCAATTTGATGACAGTGAATTTGGTTATTTATTATTTACTTTTTTTCGTTGCAATATTGAAGGATTCTATAGACAAAATATGAAACGGTGCAGGAAATATCACAAGAAGATGGAAGGAATACACAGTGTAACTGTACCAAAGAGAATTGATCAACATTCAACCATTTCAGGAGGTAGCATATGATCAAGAACCAATAGCACTGGAAGAAGTCCAAGCTGCACTGAAGGAACTGGTGAAAAATAAGCCTTCAGGAATTGACAGAATACTCATTGAGATCTTTCAACAAATGGATGCAATGCTGGAGGCACTCACTCGTTTATGCCAAGAAATTTGGAAGACAGGTACCTGGACAACCAACTGGAAGAAATACATATTTGTGTCCATTCCAAAGAGAGGTGATCCAATGGAATATGGAAATTATCAAACAATGTCATTAACAGCACATGAAAGTAAAATTTTGCTGAAGATAATTCAAAAACAGTTGCAGCAATATATTGACAAGAAACTTCCAGAAATTCAAGCTGGATTGAGAAGAGGTCATGGAACAAGGGATATCATTGCTAATGCCAGATGGATCTTTGCTGAAAGCAAAGAATACCAGAAAGATGTTTACCTGTGTGTTATTGACCATGTAAAGGCATTCAAATGTGTGGACCATAACAAAATATGGATAACATTGTGAAGAATGGGAATTCCAGAACACTTGACTTTGCTCATGAGGAATGTAGAACATAGAACAAGAAACAGTCATTTGAGCAGAACAAGAGGGTGCTGCATGGTTCAAAATAAGGAAAGGTGTGCGTCAGGATTGTACTGTTTCACCATACTTATTCAATCTATATATGGAGCAAATAATCTGAGAATCTGGACTATATGAAGAAGAATGTGGCATCAGGATTGGAGGAAGACTCATTAATAAACAGCGATATGCAGATGATACATCCTTGCTTGCTGAAAGTGAAGAAGACTTGAAGCGCTTCCTGATGAAGGTCAGAGACGACAGCCTTCAGTATAGATTACACCTCAACAGAAAGAAAACAAAAATCCTCACAAGTGGACCAGTAAAACAGCATTATGATAAATGGAGAAAAGATTGAAGTTGTCAGTGATTTCATTTTACTTGGATCCACAATCAGTGCCTGTGGAAGCAGCATTCAAGAAATCAGATGACTTTTACACAGGGCAAATCTGTGGCAAAAAACCTCTTTAAATTGTTGAAGAGCAAAGATTTCACTTTGAAGACTAAGGTGTGCCTGACCCAAGCCTTGGTATTTTCAATAGCCTTATGCATAAGTGAGAGCTGGACAATGAATAAGGAGACCAAAGAAGAGTTGATGCATTTGAATCGTGGTGTTGGTGAAGAATATTGAATGTACCATGGACTGCTAAAAGAATGATCAAATCTGTCCTGGAGGAAATACAGCCAGAATGCTCCTTAGAAGTGAGAATGGCCAATATTCCTCTTTCATTCTTTGGTCATGTTGTCAGAAGTGACCAGTCCCTAGAGAAGGATATCATGCTTGATAAAGTAGAGGGTCAACAAAAAAGGAGAAGACCCTCACTGAGATGGGTTGACACGTGGCTGTGAGGATTGACTCCAGAATGGCAGCAAATGTGAGAATGGCACAGAACCAAGCAGTTTTTCCGTTCTGCTGCATGTAGGGTTGCTATGAGTCAAAAGTACCTAACAACAACAATGCTATATACACATACACATACTATTTTTAGAAAAATAAGGATGTCCAAAAATTCTGAAACACAGGTGAGTACATATACTGCCATCAAGGGCAGCTTCGGTCTGTAAAAATAATATATTATCTGTGTTTTCAGAATTCGTATGTCTAGACACTATATAAAATTTCTTCCCACATCCAACATAGTTCCTTCCACATGTCTGTATCACTTTGTTTCATAGCAGCTGTGGCATAGAACAGACCTCATTTGATATTCTTTTAGAAACACCAAATGCTTCCCCCGGTGGACAGATGGAGGTCTGAGAGACACAGTAATTTATACTCAGGAATGTTCCACAAGCTAAAACTAGAACTTGAGCATGGTTCTATTGACCCCCGCCCAGTTCTTTTTCTTCACCAATGGTTCTCATAATTTCAGTATGCACAGGTATCTGCATAGGAATCACAGCAGTGCATACTGCCCCAGCAGGAACTTCCGGTTCAGTAGGGCACAGGAATCTGCACTTTTAGCCCAGTGACTCTGATCCAAGTAGCTCAGACCACACTTACAGCCATGCCACAAAACTGAGATTGTTTCACTTTCCAAATCCCACTGGCCTAGTCACCTTGGTCAATGGGAGGTATGTGTCCCCTTGAGGGAGGCAATTAACAGGGAGCTATTTACTCTGCCACGGGTCTGGAATTGGGTTTTTCTTTAGAACTGAAGTCCAGCTACGGAAGTTCCAACCCTGAGCATAAGCCTCCCAGTGGAAGCATAGGAGAAGTCCCTTGAAATGACAAGGTGCTTTGAAAGGAAAAGAGGGAACGATCAAGAGGCACTATCCTGATTTCAAACTCTCCATAAAAGAGGAGAAATCTCCAGCCATTTCATGAATACAAATTGAGGTTTCCAACACTGAGGCCCGAGCAGGTCTGGAGGCTGGCCTTGGCCCAGAGCAGAGGGAACAATGAGGACTATGAAGGGCTATGGCAAATTCCAAGATGTATTGCCCAGCTAATATCCACAGTCAGTTTTCGTTTTTTATGGTATAACTTTTAAAACGTTCCTGTTCTCTTGCCTGAAGGCAGCCTCCAAGCAGGAAACTCACACAGACCTGATTTTCCTGAGACTGTTCTATAGGGTCTCTATGAGTCAGAGTCTCTCAATGGCAATTCCTTTGAGAGCTGTTCCCCTTTAGAGGCTTCCCTCAGGCTGACGGCTCTCCATTCCCCTGAGTCCTCCCAAGCAAGGGGTCCACTTGGCACATAGCCCTGTGCCACACACAGAGAAAATGCAACTCTTCTAACATATAACCAAGGTTTGCTTGTTTTTAATCAACCAACAAACACTGGATCCTAATTAGGGGAATTCAAACCTGATGAAGTTAGATTAGATCAGAGCTTTAGGTCCAACCCCTCATTTTTGAAAGGGGAAACAGTATGAAGTTTTTTAATCAAAGAACAAGAAGTAGTTTAACAACTCGATGTTGTTGTTGTTTGCCGTCATGTGGATCCCATTCATAGCAATCCCATGTGAGAACAGAACTACCCCGTAGGCTTTTGTGACACAAGGGTTAAATGCTTGCCTGCTAACCAAAAGGTCAGTGGTTTGAGCTGCTCCACAGGAGAAAGATTAGGCAATCTGCTTTCATAAAGATTACAGCATTGGAAACCCCATGGAGTATTTCTACTCTGTCCTGTAGGGTCACTATGAGTGGAAATGGATGCAACGAGCAATCAATTTGTTTGTTTGGGTGTTTTTTGTTTTGTTTTGTTTTGTTTTTTTGCTTTACTATTTATGGGAGCAGATCACTAGTTCTTTATCCCACAGAGCCGCTGGGTGGATAAAAACCACGGATCTTGTGGTTTAACTGTTGCAACACCAGAGTTAAGGTAGCAAAAGTCATATCCCTCCTCTCACGTAGTTCAAAATTTATGTTTTAGTCACCTACTTTCCCTACCTTAAATATTCTCACCCTAATTCTGAGCTCTTCACTTTAATCCTTCCCCTGAGAGTGTGGGTCTGAAGGTCAGACAGGCCCACACAGTCCTTGAGGGGCTGAAAAAGGGGAAGTTTGTATAATGAGTGATGAGGCATCTGCAACTGTGTCTGTCCATCTGCCTTTTGGCTGTAGGCATTTGCGTTACAGGAGCAGCTCTCTGGCTTGCACTGCACACCAGCCTGCATGGCAGTCATGTGGGACCCACAGCCTTCCTGAGCGGGCCCAGTAGCTGCTGGGCTAGGGCTGATCTCTGAGAAGCTCCCCTGCTCAGGTTGCCAACCTCACTGCATGAGTCCCCTGCCTCATGCTGTCATGCATCGATGCCTGCAGCTCTTCCTTCTGCCTGTCCCTACTCCTTTCAGTTTTTCCCACATCCACGAGACTTGACAACACTGTTATGGCCCAGGCTTTATCCCAGTAAAGCACTCAGCATAGGCCTGTGTTGTGATTTGGTGCTGTTGACTAGATTTTATGACTCGTACATTTTCTTGGCTATAATCTTTACAGGAGCAGATTGCCAGGCCTTTCTCCCATGGCTCACTGCCATCCAGTTGATTCCAACTCATAGTGACCCCTGTTGGGTTTCTGAAGCGGTAAATCTTTGTGGAAGTAAATTGCCTCATCTTCCTTCCACAGAGTAGCTAGTGGGTTTGAAGTGCCAACCTCCTGCTTAGCAGTCAAATGCCTTAGGCACTGCACCACCAGAGCTCCTTATGGAAATGCTGGGTGGGTTCAAACCACTGACATTTAGGTTTGCAGCCAACCACTTAACCGTTGTGCACCAGGGCTCTTTCAGCATACACCTGGCTAGGAAAAATGATCATTCCAGTTAACCCATGCTGATTAGCTTCATGTGCAGAGAATCACACTGACTGTACTCTGAACACACAAATGGGAATAAGGGCATAAGTGGTCCCATTGCAAAATGATATCTTTCCATAGGAAGCTTTCCTAGTACATTTGACGGATGGTTTGCAGAGCTGTTGCTATTTAAAAGAGAAGCCACATGACAAAAGGTATCAAGACAACATGTTAGTAAGCTTAGGCTATTCACATCACAATGTTTACTGTTTTTCACCACACTGGGTACTCCATCCTCGTCAGGGAATGCAAATTTGAAAACCTCTGATTCTGTAGGAAGGTGCTGTGAGCCAGGGAGAGAGACAGATGCCAGCCATACCTAGAAGCAGTATTTTTGATGTGAAAAAACGTGAAACAATTTACTACGGATTGGTAAGTTAGCACAAGGAAGCACGTGCATACCTTGCTTATTGGGTTATCCAACATGAGCATGAAGTGAGGGAGCGTGGATCTCCACAGCACTGCTTATCTAAATGAAGATTCTGCAGCAACAGCAGCCATGGTCTCAGCCCCATGAGAACCACTGCTCAAGAGAGGTGTGTACTCTCAGTGCACACAGCAGTGAAACAGGCCACCCTCAAGGTGACACTGGTAACCCTTTTAAACAATTCCATCCCCCTCCATGTCTTTCACAGGGACTTGCAAAGGCAGTAGTGATTTCCATCCTGAGTGGCAATGCCAGGAGGTCTTCTGAGGGCTGTAAGCTCCTCTTTATAACCCACTGACACCCTGACCTATTACCCCCACCGGAAAACAAATGCAAACACTATGCCACACACTGCTGTAGTAAACTTCTTTCTAGTTTACTGTAAAGTAACAGGCAATAGATCACACAACTGCCTTCTGAAATGTTTCCCTTTTCTCTCCTTGGCTTTTGCAGGCCTGGTGCTAACAACTCCTGGAGAAAAGAAGGGGTCGGGGAGCAAGAATGCAGAGTTCTACAGTGAATTGTGGTTCATTGTGTTAATGGCAGTGCTGGGCTTGATCTTATTGGCCATTTTTCTGTCCCTGATCCTACAAAGAAAGATCCACAGGGAACCGTATATCAGAGAGAGACCGCCCTTAGTCCCTCTTCAGAAGAGGATGTCTCCACTGAGTGTCTACCCACCAGGAGAATCCCATGGGGTATGTCTCTAAGGGTGTGGCTCTATTTTCCTGTCACTGGATTGCAGTACTTGTTTTTAAATAGGGAGGAAATGTTTCCATAGCCATGGTAATCAGGGGTCAGATGACAGTGACATTTGACCAAATGTGGGAACCAAGGGAGGCTAACCTGACACATGTTCTCTACATGGGTATGCATTAGAATCACTGGGGAAGGTTTTAAAAATACCATTGACTTGTCCTCTTGTGAAGAATTCTGACTGCATTGGTCTGGGGTGGGGTTTAAGCATTGTTGTTGTAACTCTTCAACGATTCTAACGTGCAATCAGGCACGAGAATTTCCGATTGGCAGTTGGAAGTCAGGGATGGAGGACAAGACGTGTATATTGAACTAACCTGGGGAGCTTATTACTGCGTATATACAAAACCAAACTAGCTGCTGTTGAGTCGACTTCAACCATAGCTGACTCAATGTGTCAGTAAAACTGTTCCACAGTGTTTTTAGTGGTTGATTTTTCAGAAGTAGACCACACTAGGCATTTCTTCCAAGGCACCTCTAGGTGGAATCGAACCTCCAATTTTTTGCTAGCAGCTGAGCGTGTTAACCATTTGCAGCAGCCAGGGACTACTGTTCAACTAAAACAGTACAATCTGCCATTGAGTAGAATCTGACTCATAGCGACTCTATAGGACAGAGTAGAGCTGCCTCATAGAGTTTCCAAGACTGTAAATCTTTATGGGAGCAGACTCTCTCATCCTTCTCCCATGGAATGGCTGATGGATTTGAACCACCGGGCTTTTGCTAGCAGCCAAATGCTTTAACCACTATGCCAACAGAACGCCATCATAATTTGCATTGTTGTTGTTGTGTTGTTATGTGCCGTCGAGTCAGACCTGACTCATAGTGACCCCTCCTTGGGTTTCCGAGGCAGTATTACTACGGAAGTAGATTGCCCCATCTTCCTTCCGAGAAGTGGCTGGTGAGTTTGAACCGCCAGTCTTCTGGTTAGCAGGCAAATGCCTTAGGCACTATGCTACCAGAGCTCCATAATTTGCATTAATGAGGAGCTCTGGTAGCATAGTGGCTAAGACACTTGCCTGCTAACCAGACGGCTGGCGGTTCAAACCCACCAGCCACTCCTTGGAAGGAAGGTTGGGCAATCCTACTTCCGTAGTGATACTGCCTCGGGAACCCAAGGAGGGGTCGCTATGAGTCGGGGCTGACTCGACGGCACATAACAACAACAACAACAGGAGCAAAATGAAGAGTCACTGCTGATGTTCATAAGCTCCTCCCCTACTCAGCATAAAAGGGTAAAAACATGAACAGTAGCAAGCTGGATTCTCCTACTCAGTTTCTGAGACTGACAGCTTCTAACTCTCCTCCAAGCAGCTGTTTTCAATATTGCTGTCACGCTGTCCCAGGCACCCCAGCTCTCTGAACAAGTAAGGTGTCCTTTGAATTCCTGATGCAAACTGGCAAAAGAATTTTAGGCCCCACACTGAACAGAGAAAAACAGAGCAGAGGTGCTCGGGAATGAGTTTTTGTGTTTTATTAATCTTTTCAAGGTCACACAGCATACAGTTTAAGTGCAGGTTTTACTTGTAACTTAATTACTGTTTTGAAGGTCCTTGCATTCTCTTCTATACTAAACAAATAATGCATGTGAAACTTACCTTAGGCACTAAATGATTACTTTCCACTCACCATGTAGTTTTAATTGCAAGCCTTTCAAATTTATATTTAAGATGTATACAAACACAAAACCAAAGTCATACCAAACTCACTGCTGTCAAGTTGTTTCCGACTCATAGTGACCCCTCCTTGGGTAGCACTTTTGCTTGTTCTTCTTGCACATAAATACATGACTAAATGAAGAAGCATACATGACAGTTAAGTCTTCCTTCCGAGGAGTGGCTGGTGGGTTTGAACCACCAGCCTTCTGGTTAGCAGTCAAATGCTTTGACTACACCACCAGAGCTCCTTATACAAACACCCCCGCCACACACATATATATAATCAATGTAGTAGTAATGTAAGGGTATGATTATGATAAGGAGCCTTAGTGACAAAATGATTAAGTGCTTGGCTGCTAACCAAAAACGGTAGTTCAAACCCACCAGCCACTCCACAGGAGGAAAGACCACACGATCTGCTCCCATAAAAAATTACAGCCTAAGAATGGGGCAGCAGTACCCTATCTTATAGGGTCACTAAGATTCAGAATTGACTTAACAGCTTACAACACCATGATTATGTAGTTGGAGGAACACAATTCATCTTTTAAAAAATGCTCCAAACCTTGACTGATGTTCCCAATTTTTTCTCAGTTTGATTCTGTGGCTGATATATCTGATGTGTCAAGCAATGTCACCCTAAAAAGTTACACCATGCACTTTGAGGTACCTTCTGTGTGCTGTTTGAATGCATGACCTTTTGCATGACCTGTTGACTGCTCACATGAAAGGCTGGAAGGTTTCTTTGATTGAATTGCTAAATCAGAATCTTCACATGCTTACAGCAGCTAGATTTTATCTTAAGGCACATTCTAGGTCTTAATTGTGGAGTGGCTTTCTTTTTGGTGTTAGTATCAGAGCTCATTGATCTTGGAGACAGGAATGAGGGGAACATATGGAATCAGAAAAAAGGAACAAAGGCATCAATTTTCCTTCACAAGTCATAGGAATTTTAAAGCAAAGTACAAACTCTGCTCACTTAGTGGGTAAACATGAGAGAGCATCGTTAATTTTGACTGCTCTGAGAAGGGGGGTTCTAAGGATGGTGCTGACATGCATGAAGAGAATATGTTAACCCCTTAAGCCCCTCACTTATTGTTGCAATGCAGAAAGCCCTTAACACACAGGGTAATGTAGCCAGAGCACCAGTTCGTAAGTTCTCCAGCTGCTAAGGACACTGGCCATCTGATAAGACCTTTAGTATTTTCTCATCTTTACCAAGAAACCAAGGGCCACAGTGTTCCAGGAGAGCTTACAGTTGCTAAATTCTGTAGGAAGGTTAAAAACAGCCCTTCTTTCATTGACAGTGTGCAAGATAGTTTTCTGTCCTACTTCAACCCTGTTTCCACTATATGTTAATTACCAACAGCAATTTTCTTTTCAGGGATTAGCTGATACCAAAATTCCTCGGTCTGGGACACCTTTGAGTATTAGGAGCACCCGGAGTGTATCTGTTCTGCGAATCCCAAGTCAAAGCCAAATCAGCCAAACCTATTCCCAAGGATCTCTCCAGCACAGTGTCAGTCAGCTCATGGACATTCAAGACAAGAAAGTCTTGGTTGATGACTCGCTGTGGGAAACCATCATGGGCCACGACAGTGGACTGGTGAGTTGATTTCCTCCCTACAAGCAGTTTGCTAATGATCCCAGAATACTGGTAGAGATGACACGAGAATTCCTGTACCTCACTGAATGCAGCCCCACAGCACTCAGCGCCTCTCTCTCAGCACTTCCTCGATGCTTTTGTGACCTCCTGTTTACTAGTTTTGATATAAGTGCTACTAAAATTCTTTGATGATGTGCCAGGTAGCACTTTTGTCTTGTTCTTCTGGCACATAAATATATGAGTAAATGAAGAAGCATACATGCCATAGTTAAGTTGGGGCAAAAGGTGAGTGGAAACATTAGCACTGGCCTAAAAGGAGGCATACAATATGAGCATGTTACATTAGAAAAAGGAGGTGCATCAATCTAGTTTCCCGTTTTATTGTTAGAGTTTTTTTTTTTCCTCAACAGGTAAGGAACTCTTAGAAACTTATGTTAAGTAAGGGTGTTACAGTTTATGAACTCCATCTTTCATAATTTCAGTCCAGTGGTTACAAATAATCAACTCTCTGGAAGTCAATCTCATCATTTCCTAGTATTTGTTAAGAGCCCCTAGCTGGCTGAGATGAGTATCCTCTTAAGTGTTTTTACCCACCACCAAACTTCTCACTTTGCCATTAATCTAGATACCGGCTGAAGTACTATTCCTTTGGAATAATTAGATAAAAAATAGCTAATTAAGAACTTTGCTCAACAATGTGAATGATTACATAGGAACCTTAGAGTGCAGTGAATTTCTTAAAAGGGTGAAAATAGTGTCACAACTGGAAGAACGTAATCAATGGTACACATGGAAACTATTGTATTGGTTTATGTTTTACTGTGTAAATTCTCGACAAATAAAATTATTTTTTAAAAACCAACTTAGCTTAACCATCCTGCTTCTGCCTTTGGGTTCTTTGGTTCATCTCTCTCCCACGTTCTGGTTCATCTCTCTCCCACGTTCTCACTTTTCCTTCATAGTTCATGACTTCCATGAAGTCTGTCTTAACTAATAGCAAGTAATAAAGTGACCTTCCCGACTCCAGGTTCCATACCAGCATTAAAAAGTGCACGGTACTTGCTTGTTCACATGATGGTATTTATATATACATGCAGTGATATTTTATTTCATTTCAAAAATCATGGGCCTGCTTATGACTGTTGCATTCCATGCATTGTATTTCAGATACAAAGTTTCTAAGTGGCAAGAATAATACAACAGACTGAAATATAAGGAATTAATTGGTAATTTTTGACATGCAAAATGGCAATTCCAAGTGGTTGGAAATACTACATTTTGTGCTTAACATCTGCTATTTCAGTTAATTTTCACAAATTCTTGGGGGTAGATACTATTATGTTGCCCATTTTTACACAAGGAAATGAGGCTAAGAAAGGTTAGTAACTGACCTATTGATACAAAGCTAGTAAGTCATTTCATGGAGATGGGATCTTAAAAAAGTCACTTGACTACATAGCTATTATACCACATAGCCACTTTTGTTTGCTTTTTTATAGACAGTGTGCAAAGGGACTCAATGAAAAGCTTCCAAAGATGGCAACTTACCAAACTATCTGTTCATTATTATCAACATTGCTAGCCCAAATCAATAAATACAGTAAGAACATGGGAATCAGTAGAGCATATTAGCTTACATTCTGACTTCTGTACTTACTTTGAAGTCTTAAAAATATGAGTATAAAAATTGTATATATATTAAATATACATTTACATCATATATCTATAAATATTTATATAAATCTCCACATTTCAGTTGAGAAAACTGAGGCTTAGAAAGGTTAAGATATGGCATAAATATAACAGTCAAATCACACACAATTCATGTGTTTATGTGAAGTGATCCTTTCAGTAAGACAAACTTAAAGCAAGGACTGTATCTTAAATCATACCTTACAGGGCTGAGTATACAGTATTAGCCCTTAATAAGAACTTACTGATTACTTTTGCCCTAAATTGGTAATTGATAGCAAACATCCTAACCAATGATTGGTGTATTTTTCAGTATGTGGATGAAGAAGACCTGATGAACGCTATCAAGGGTTTCAGTTCAGTGACCAAGGAACACACCACGTTCACCGACACCCACCTGTAACTGCACCAAGGGAAGCTGGAACGCAGGCTCCGTACCACATTTCCTCTTGTTTTTCACTGACTGGTGCATTAATGCTGAAAAGCTTTGTTATCCAGTCATCCTTGAAAGAGATAAGGACTGTTTTTGTACATATTCTTCCCTAATGGAGGTCTAAGAAATGCTGTATTTCTGGTTGTATAAAGTAAGGGGGTAACAGCTGTATTAAGAATTGTTACCAGCAAGTAAAGTGCACTGGCTGAAAAACTGGGCAGTGCTTCAGAGAGGATGTCTCTGCTGCTTCTTTCAGCTACTCCTTACAATCCCCTAATTCTGTCAAGGCTGACACAGTCCTATCACAGCTATTCTAGTGATCACAGTTGTGAAGAAAAATCCCAATTTTAGGCTCAGGTGAATCAGAGAAAAACAAAAACTGCACTGAAGTTACACATGACTCTCTTTTAACTACAATGTTTACGGTTAAACCTTCACGAAACTTTTTGACAGAGCACTATATAACTTACTATAAATGTCTCTGTTCTTGCATTTACCAATCTTCTGAAAATCTGAGGATTAAACAGCTAATTTATACATTTCAAAAAAAAATCATTAAATAGAAACGCTCCACCTGAACAATGGGGCCAACTTCCATTTCACACATTTTATTGACACCATTTTTAAACTCCAACGTTTTTATTTTGGAGTTTTAATAAAATTCTGTCAAAAAATGAATACTTGGTAACACCGACATCTTCAACTTAGTATATTTCAAATGGAAACTACTGTTCTATTTGTGATATTTAATTAGTCCACATTAATTATGTAAGGAAAAACTGTGCTTTTGAAATCGTTTAAATTAGCTCATTTCCATGTAAGCCAAGATTACACATATAGGTATATATACCTGGTTGTACGAAATGAAGGATAATTTAAAAATTACCATGGTTTGTTATTCCAAATATATATACATATGTATATATATGAGGCGCCCTGGTGATACAGTGGTTAAGCACTTGGCTGCCAGTCTTAAAGTCAGTGGTCTTAACCCACCAGCCACTCTCTGAGAAAGATGTGGCAGTCTGCTTCTGTAAAGATAACAGCCTTGGAAACCCTATGGGGGAGTTCCACTCTGTCCTGTAGGGTTGCTATAAGTTGGAATTGACTAGATGGCAACAGGTTTGGTGTGTATAGATATAATCTCTGTAGTATATCCCTTTATCAGAAAACTGTTTTAGTCCTAGAATCACTAAGAGCAGATGATAATGCAAAAGTACCAATTTGCATTGTTGAAACATTTCTGTCATCTGCTCTATTTGGGTTCCATAGTCATTTATCAAAGTCCTACTGCAAGAAACTTTTTTTTCCCCAAGTCTTCAACATAAAATTAAAGACATTTAGATTGGTCCTTCCTGGTAAACAATGTAAGAAAACCTGTATTTCTTCCTTCATTCTTAAAGCTCTTAATGACTCTGAAAGGTCATTTTGAATCTGTATTGACACAATTGTTCAACAATATTTTATGAAGTCACATTCAAAGGCAGGTAGATTTTCCCAAAGCTGAGCTGGCAAAAACTGATGAAGTCAGGTATAACCATAATCATTCTGCTCAAAAACTATGAATTACCCTATAGTCCAACAGGTAAAGTTATAAACTTTAGGGCTCTGAACTTACTTTCAAATCTGTGGAAAATCACCTCCTCAGATGGACCAACTCCTGGATCAAGTTTGCCCATTACAAGTGTCAAAAGCACAAAGTGTTTAGCAGTTCTGTTCCCTTGTTAAAGCTGCTCTAAGCAAACAAATCTGAAATAATTATGTACATTTAGCAGTGGATGTACATTTCTTAAGAAATGGAATTTTCTCACCACAATTCTATACTTCCTAAAATGGAAACATGGAATTGACTATTTTAGGTTACTGTTTTTTATTCCCATTTGCTGAGCCTGGACCACTTTGAAGTGGGCACAACAGAGGTTAAAGCTCACTTTCTGCTTCAAGTAAGATACTTAAGGTATACAGGAAGCACTATTTTCCACAGGTTGAACTTGCATCCTTATCCTTGCCCTACTCTTCCGCAAATATATGTTAGTCACAGGTGGATTTTGAAGACTGAGATAATTCTGATTTCTGGAAAATTAACTTAGTTGTTGTTAAGTACCATCGAGTCAGACCTGACTCATAGCGACCCCTCCTTGGGTTTCCAAGGCAGTATCACTACAGAAGTAGGCTTATCAATGTGTACTTAAGGCACAGTATAAAACTTTGTAAGAATACAAAAGAACAAAATAGAGAACTGCAGGGGATTTCATCTTCAATCATTCTCCACTTAATCATCTAGTTAGACACTTAGTTCATTATTACATGAACTCATTTAAACTTTTACATTTTGATCTCATAGCTAAGAGGAGACAGGAGCCCTCATGGCTTCTGCACCAAACACTGTTCCCATCTCACCAACCTACCTAAACTTGCTTGTATTTCAGAGAAGAATCCTAAGATTTTGGTTTGCTATTTTAAGTGGTGTTGTGTGCCAAACCTCCATCAGATAAACTATGGAGACCCACCCCTAAAGATTCTAATTCAACTGGTCTGTGGTGGGGCTGGCGCATCAGTACTTTTAAAAGTTCCCAGGGGCTCCTAATGTTAAGAAGCAGTGAGACAAAGCAAACTGGATAAAGGACTACTTTTCTTGGTGCACCACTTCTCCCTTGCCAAGTAATCAATAAGAAGTTTTCTATGAAGCCCTTTAAATCTGTTTCACAACTTCTCTGACTTGTATTCTCACTTACAAACAACGATCTTGACTTAATTTAAGAACTACCATGTTCTGTTATTCCTACTATTAACTGTTTGATAAAAGTACATAGTGATGTTTGTAGAAAACCTACTAAGAAGTGTTTCTAGATGATCTGTTATTTCCATTACACAGAAAACCTAAACATGACTGTCATGGTATCTAATACTGATCTAAAAATTGTGTAGTTATCAGTGTAAACATAATGCAACCTAAACAACTTGAACCTAAACAAATGAAACATAGGCCAGGTGGAATAAGTTAGTACTAAGGAATGTAATTATGTCACATGTGACTATTGGTTTATTTCCAATAAAAAGTTTCATGTAAAACATCTGAAGATGGTTTGCTTAGTAATTAAATGTGAAGCAAATTTAATATACTTATCAAAAAATAACCTAACTTAAATAATGGTAATAAAATAACAGTGATAAAAATGGATTGATTCCAAGATGGCAGAATAAGCAGAGAGTCTGCACAGACCCTCTTCAACAAAGAAAAGGGGAACCAATTAACACAGACACAGAAGATAATCCTGGACCCTTGAGCCTTGAAGAGAAGGATATAGAAGTGGGCTAAACTCCTACTAGCAGAAGAATTCACATGAAAATAACAAAAAAGGAGACATACAGACCCTGTGGTTTGGCAATGATCCGGAGTGATCCTGAAGGCACAGACAGCTTGGAGATTCCTGAGTGGTGGTAGAACCTAAGAATTAAACTAAAAATCAGCCCTGCTAGCCAAGGACTGCACGGAGGACTGCTCTGGTGGCTGGAGAATAAAAGGGGAAGCAGTGGGGAAGAGGCAGAAGAGCTGAGCTGAGGACTTTTGCCTGTCTGGAGGGCACTGCCATTTTGAATGTTTACAAGCGGCTTGACCATTTTGGATATTTAAAGACAGAGCTCTCTGAGATGCCAGGGGCTTAAGAAGAGGTTCTGCTTTTGAGTAAATTCAAGGAGACTCCGGACCTGCACGACTAAAAAGGTGCAACATTCCTCGTTACCTTTATACCCACACCTGCTTGGTGAATGGAGGTGCAGCCACCCCCAACTCCCACCCACCTTCTAAACCCGCAGGAACTCCATCCCAGTCTATGTGCTCAGATGGAGCCTGGGAGCCTTACACTGTCCTCCACCAATTTTTTTATTTTTCAATTTCTTTTTTTCTAGTGTTTAGTTTGCTTTTATTTGTCTGTTTTACAACTACTATTATTATTAATAATTTTGTCCTTTTTACTATTCTTCCCCTCCCAGGTCCTAGTTAAAACTTTTTTTCTTCTCTGTTCCTGGTTAAAAAAAAAAATAATAAAATAATTTAAATTATTTTTTTCCTTCCCCTTTTTTT